AGCATGCCCTCTCTGTGAGATCGGGTGGGATGGGTTGAAATCGTGGGGGCGAGGCAGTCCTTCGGGTAACCTGAAGGTAACCTAGTACACGTAGAATTAGTTCTACGTGTACTAGGATTTTATCAGATTCTTTTGGTTCTGAGTTCAGAAAGCAGCTGTATGCCAATTCATTGTAATCACACACACAAAAATCCTCATGTTTCATGGCATTTTATTCAAAAGCTTGCAAGAAAGAAACTCACACAAACATTTATTTGAGGCTTTCAGCCGTCCCACATTTCCCCAACATAATTGCATGGCTTATACCTCCCCTAAATTTTAAGCTAAAATTTCAAAAGCATCACATATAGAATCGGACTGATCATTCTGAGTATCAAATGGAAAATTAAAATCAGAAACTAAAATGCTGAGCATGTAATTAGGAGGGCCTTATAATATAAAGTCACTGTAATACCATTTGATGCAAATACAGTAAACAGTGAAGCTTATAAAGACAAAGCTCTCAACAGTCATGCACTCAAGACAGGTTTCATCCGCACTCTCATTTAAGTATAATTTACAAATCTATATAGGACTGTGAAGAATACTCTCTATTACATAGACGGGAATCATGACCTCAATTAATTTTTCAGAACATTAAATCTGCAAACTTTTGCTACTTACTACTCTGCCATTAAGGATGTAATCATATGTATGTGTGATTCAAAGTATGCTCTGGAGCCGTGCTTGCTTTGGAAAAGACATAGGTTGACTTCCCAGCTATCCAGACTTTCACTGGCATTCAATTCACATTAGGGCCATGGTATGCAAAACAGTACTTCCCAAATACCTTTGAGTTCAGTGTCAGCCTAGCTGGCATGGCCAATGGCAATGGTCGGTAGGAGATACATGTCAAGGTATCTGGACGACACACACCGCTTGCCTTTGCACTTAAGTATACTTCCCTAAGGTAGTTTGAGAAAATGAGCACCCTACAATACTGAAGAGAGGGGAGCAACCACCTTCCAACTCTATCTAGAATAGTATAAAAACTCTTGATACCGAAAGGGTAGGATTCCATAGCAGTGTGAAACTTATAACTGTAGAAGGACATGATTAAATACAGTCAAAACTGCCCCGGAAAGGAGAAAAAACCTTATTGCTCCCTGCACTCCTTTCTTTCAATGGAAGCCATGGAAATCAGATCTTCTTGGCACTCTGGACTTCCAGCCACTCTGCTACAATGAAAGAATCTGGCCCTTGGTAAAAGCAGTTTGAAGAGGGGATATTCCAAGTGCACACATGCCAGGGAACAAGGTTCATCCAAACCACTTTCAAGAAATCCAGACTGAAAGAAGGCAAGCCGCAAGGGGGCAGTGCAGAACTATGCATTTACCTGCAACGCACTTTTTCATCTTTTGGCCTATTGATTTTACAAAAGCAAAACACGTACTAAGGAGCCAAGGGCAATATTGTTACTCATAATTCTAGTTCTAACAGCACACCCTTTTTCTAAGCTGCTTTTTCTAATACAGGGAAACCTTTTCACAGCGGGAGGCAAAAGTGCACCGATTGGAGAGATTTCGCTCATTTCCACGATAACGTCATCAAGGAGATCCTTTGGGTCAGTTTATATGTATTCTTTGCAGGATTACATCACTGCACAAACCCCAAAATTAATTAAGTTGTGTAATGCCATTACATTGCTGCTATGAACAAATGCAAATGGCACCCTCTGCATCAAACAAATGACCTCATGCGCATAACAAATGCTCCTATTTATTTATTTATTTATTTATTTCTACCACGCCACAATTAAAATGACTCTTGGCGGCTTAGATAGCATATAAATAGAAACAATTAAAACATTCTTGGTAACATTTGAAATGTACCAGAACTTATCACAATCAATAAAACCAACAATCTCCCAAAAGGAGCACAAAAATGAAAGCAATACAAGTGACGGTAAAAGTTGGCATCATAAAGAAGCTGAGCGGAAGGCCCTCCAACACAATTAGGTTATCAACAATTTCTGAAACATCAGCAAGGAGGGGGCTAGTCTGACCTCCACCAGTAGGCTCTTCCCAGTGCTGGCCCTACCACGAAAAACCAGTGCCTTCTGAACCTTCCGAAAATGAGGGATTTGCAGCAGTTTCTCTCTAGTTGTTCTAATCGGTTGGACCGATGCTGGTTGGAGAAGGTGGTTCCGCAGAAATCTGCATGTCAAGCTTTGTTTTAGTGGGTCTCAGTGCAACAGACTTGGCATTCAACAGATCTACTTTCCACTGGTAAAACCAGGTTTCGCTGAACTTGTTCTGTTGTTTTAAACTCACCTCCCATTAAGTGATTTGGTTCAGAGGAGAAACAGGCCTACTCATAACACGCAGGGTTTATTCTTAAGTTCAATAGGTCTAAAGAATGAAGATTTATCTTTTGGGCTTTTTGTGATAACACAAGTCTTTGAATGAACTTCCTGGCTGCTCCTGGGTGCTATCTTCTTCGCCGACCCCATCACTGTAGCTTACGCTGCGGAGCCTTTTACAGGGGCTCTCTGGTTCCTGACCCTCCTTCCCGGCCTTGCTTGTCTGGAACTGACAGGAGGAAGGAAGCAACAGACTGCAGCTGAACCCGAGAGGCAGAGGAGGAGGACAAAACTGCCCGATTGCTCAGGGGTGAGGGTGATCAGGAGGCAGAATCAAAATCTGGGGATGGAGGGACACTAGCAATAGTGGGGAGGTCTCCCCCCCCCACTGTAACCCATCTCTTCAGATACTTAAAAAAGGGGGGGAGGGTGAGTAAAGCAACTGGTCAGGAGAGAGCTGTTATACCGTAGTGCAGTGTTTAATAAACAAAACTATACATTCAGAAGGCCCCAAATTAGTGTTTCTCAAACTTGGCAACTTTAAGATGCTGGCTAGAGAATTCTGGGAGTTGAAGTCCACACAGCTTAAAGTTGCCAAGCGTGAGCAACACTGCCCTAAATGAAATCTTGCCTCAACCATGACTCACAAGATGGCTTCAGACAAAATCTTACTTTTCCAGCCACAGTCCCTTGATCTGCCCTCCTTGTCAGCAACAGATCTCCTGGTCTACTTTAAATGTTATTTGCAAATGTTGATCAGGGATCTCTTTGAACATATGATAACCATATGATAATCACATAACAACCATTTGTGATAATGCTGATCCTCTGTAGAAATTCATTATGGTCTTAGAATTCAGCTGGTCGCAATATCTGAAAATCTCTGCCTGAATTCTCACAGGACCCCTCATTTTCCTATTTGCAGCAATCTTTTTGTGCAGCTGCAGAACGTATAGCAAAGTAGTTTGTGTACAGATCAACCTGGGGGGGGGAGCAGAAAAAATTCAAACCAGCCAGTTACCGAAGCAAATTGTAAACAGAACCATTTGCTAATTCAACACACAAAAAATGATGCACGCCACGTGGAAGCACCCTAGGGGAGAGAAAGAGTGCAGGACTGAGAAAGTAGGACCAGGGAAAGGTCCTACCTACTGAGACTCTCTTGCCAAAGATTACACTCCAACAGCAAAAGATTTGGTCCACTTCTGATGAACTGACTGAGAGCACAGAGGTCCTTTTAAATACTTATTGCTCACATTACTTACATTTCTAGGAAATATTGCCAGTGAGTTTCTGTTAATCCACTAGCCTTATAAACCCAGAGAAGAAGGGGGAGAGGGAAAATGCCCTCACAATTGTTCACATTTACTCTAAAACACATGTAGATAGCTGGTGTGTTATTGTGATTAAAGTGTTGGGACGGGAATGGGAAGACCCAAATTCCAGTCCACCTTATCACAGAAGCGCCTTGCTGGGTGACTTTGGGCCAGTCATTCACTCTCAGCCAACCTAACCCGCAAGGTGGTTGTACCAGGGAAATACTGGAGGAAGGAGTACTATAGATGCTGTCTTAAGCTCCTGGAGAAAAAGTCAAGTATAAACTTTAAAATAAACAAATAAAAAAGCCCCTTTCCTGCTTTACCCACCGCTTTTTCTTGATTAGCAAGATTCAAGCCCTAAGTTTTACAAAATCAGATAGAGCTTTCAGATGGTTTAAGTTCAGTTAAGTAAAGCAGAATAACAGAAGTTGCATTCTGGTAATATAATTCATCCCTTTACTATAAAAGCTGTATAAATACCTTTACTATATTTACTATAGTAAATATACTTTACTATACTATTTACTGTATTCATCCCTTTACTATAAAAGCTGTATAAATACCTTTAAATAAATTTACTTTCTCAGGACAGCAAGAACAAAGATGAGATGTGGATAACCCAAATGCATCCACTGCAGTCCAGTTACACTTGACACCTGCACAAGGAGGACCCTTTCGAAACTAAGTAGTACTACCCCGCCCCCCCCGCAATTAGAATTATCTTGGGACGGGGGGGGGAGAGACTTGCCTCACTCTCCGTTCAATTTCCATTTGCCTCTCAGCTCCAGAGGTGGCACGCCTGGTTCTGCTCATATGAGCTGAAAGGACCAAGACAGCTGATGTCTGCGCAACTCATCAATCTTTCTAACAGTGTCTCAGGAAAGGAAGAGACATTGCTGGTACTAACTTCTCTAACAGTGATATCATTCTACTTTTAACCTTTAATCTGTTGTTTGAGAGCCTTCTTCTTTCTTCTGACTTGCACTGCAAAGACTTGTTATCTCAGTAATTTTTTAAAGAATTCAAGACTAAAAAGAAGATCCTGGGGTAGCTTAATTTTTTCCCCCGAAGTTGGAAGATTAAGATCCTCTACAATAAGCAATAAACAAAGACTGTTGAGTACAGACGTTTTTCTGGTAAGAGGGTACCACTTCATTTCTTTCAAGCACAATACTGGAGCATCCTTGTTTACTGCAAGTAAGGAAAGATGCAACATCCAGGTTTTTTAAAAAACAAAATTCATTGTGCACAGCTACTTTAGCATGTTTTAAAAACAATCAATTTTTTTTAAAAAAATGCTTCATCACTCATATGAGTCATTTGCTGGAAAGAGCTACTGTTTATATTAGGGGTTCAGAAATACCGTTACCTTTTTTGGTGAAAAACTCCTTGGAATATTTTCCCAACATAGCGTATTTTCGAGGGATTTTTCCCAGCAGTTCAATGATCAATGCTATGTGATCTGCATTGGAGAACATTTCCAGCAAAACAGAAACATACAACAGTTTAATCAATACACTGCATGCACACACAGACATTGGCCCGGTACAGACAGAAATAGACGTTCTGGACAATCCTATGAAATTTGGGGGTGCGAACTCTGCTTGCAGGGTAATTTAGAAAAGCCATTTGAATTAGAGGGCAATGCTGCTGTTTGTGAGAGCGGAGCACCCAATCCTTCGCAGCTGTCGCCCTAAAAACAGAGGCTGCTTGCCTCATCATTTTGGACATGCGCTCAGGGGCCTGGGCTGCAGCAGCAGTTTCCAGTCCACTTCTGTCTGCATCGCGGTGCCTTTCAAAAAGAAGAGGGACTACCTCTGCGATTGAAGAATTCCCGAGAATATTTTCCAGATAGAGCAAAGTGCCTTGGGATATTGCCTAGTAGCTCTATGATGTGTGCTATGTGGTCTATGAAGGAGAGAAAAAAGGACATAGGAATGGGAAGGGCAGGGAAAGGATGGGACAAAAGAAGAGGGGAAAAATGGAATTAGTTTAAAAATCCAAAGAAGTTCCCAACACAACAATGCTTGCAGAAGACCCATGCAGAGGTTTCTAAGACCAGCCGAATTCTGGTATCATTAGCAGCACTCAAGAAGGAAAGCAAAATAGGTGAAGCTCGTGTTACACCACTGCAAAGGACATTTCAAGCAAACAAGCGTGGAAAATGGGCAGGTTCACAGATGGAAGTAGGAGTTAAATCATTTAGTAACGACCGTATTTACCCAAAAGGAAGACAAGCCTGAATTTAAGACTAATACCCAAGGAGAAATCTTGGCAGCGACCACCTTCTTCACCCTGTCAACCTACTTTTCCAATGCCAGCTGGAATTCGTGTGACACCTTTATACATATGTACACATGTACGTGGGTGTGTGTTTGTATATGCACACCGATACCTGCCAGAAGCCATACTCCAAAAAAGCGCCGGGCAGGATAAAAAATAAATTTATATTAACTGAACCAAAGGTATGCAAAACATTTCTTTTTTTCTTTTTGTAGCTTGAAACAGCTGTTTTACAAGCGAGCTGTGAACTACCTTCACAGGAAGTATTCTGATGCTGTCCCAACCTTACTAGAAGACATTTCGAGTTTTTCCACAGCATCTTCTACTCTTTTCAGCGAATTTAAGATGATGAATGCTACCATCACTGCCCAAATTCACAGGTAATCAGTAGTGGTTCAAAACCCGCCTATCAGGTAAATACGGTCAGTGTCCCAAGCTGGGGGTTCAGCACTCTAAATATCTAGTCTAGTGTCAAGAGATGCGCCCACACAGTGTCAAGTTTCATATCCAATCTGTACTGTTTCAAAGTTTCCACACACAGATGCAGATCTTACAGGACAGGAGAGTAACCCTCTCGAGTCTTAGGGAGGAAGAATATGTCTGCAGAAGGGAGTGACTACAGTTAGTGATGGGATTTTAAAGAGGGGGGAAAATATGGTGTTCATATTCTGAAATGAAACTATTTTCATCATCTGTCTCTTCATATTCCCTGAAGTTACAGAGGTTCAAAGCACTATCTAGGTATTTAAAAGATACATACCCTCATCTCTGGAATAGTCTTCACCAGAATGTGGCTCAAAGAGATAATCTCCAGTTGCCAGCTCAAAAGCCTAGGATTTTTTTTAAAAAAAGAAGATATTTAGAAGTGGACATATTTTGTCTCTCATGAAAGGAATACATTTAAACAAGTGTTTACATAGCTTTAAAACACAAATAAAAATCATTTCTATAAAGAGCAGCTACTGAATGCTTACATGAAGAGCAAGCTTAGGTTTCTAGACTGGGTTTTAAAACAAGCTTAACAGAAAATCTGAACATACAACAGAGTTTGGTTCTGCCCAGGATGAGTTCCAACTGCGATCGTACCATATCACAAGCCCGTTCTTAAAATCTCCCTAGAGGATAATTTTTAAAAAGCACCCAAATCCTTTTGAACTAGGCTGGGCCGATTCTTTGGATTTTAGCTCTAGGGTTTTCTATTCAGAATCCAGGATAGTAAGGCTAGGAAAGGGCTACGGATTGAGATCCTAAACCAGATTTTTTTTCGGGGTGTGGGGGGGATAAGGGAGGATATAAGGAGAAACATGGTGCAAGAAAAACATGGATTAAGTTTCAGGAGAAAATGTAGTGCATACTACAAGGAGCAATATAAAAATTATGCCTTCTTGGTAGCTGCTACTCCTACCTTTGTGACTTAAAAAACATTTGGGAGATGAGATGGACTTGTAGCAGAGACTAAACTTAATATTTACACCAGGCCTGAAGAATATTGTTTTTTTCCTACACTGTTCGTTGTGATGCAATATATTATTATTTTAACTATGAAGCTTGGTTTCCGCTAAGGCCCTGTAAATAGCACATACTCATCATATAAAGCAAGAAGCCAACAGCTCTTCAGGTTAATTACTGTCTCCTCTGTTAGGACTAGTTTGCAAACTGAGAAGACCTTGATGAGAACTGCCCTGTTCACACAAAGAAGCCAATGTTGTCACAAATAAGTTTTCTTCCTCCTTTTGGGAATTACCAACACAGGACTGTACATAAGCTACAGTGACTACCTGAGCAGGTACACTGAAAGGCTGAAACACTCCAGGAAAAAAAATCGTTTTCCTTCCAGGCTTACAATTTGAAATTTAAAAGAACAGATACCAAAATTATGGAAATGTGTGGAAAATGAATAAGCTTTTCATGTAAGGATAAAAAAATAAGCCAAAAAAGTTAATGTTAGGGAGAACTGGTTACTATATATTGAATGCAATATATTTAGCGTTCTTCTACATTTCAAGACTGAATGGACTTTTAGCCACTTGACCCTATTTTCTATATGATCGTTACAAAAACTGCATACACTTAAAATAAAAATTCTTCATTGGCTAAAAAACTACAGTGGTCTCCTGCCACTTCTATGTATCATAATATCACCATGAATGCCTAGATAGAAATGAGGGTTCTCTTATTCATGAGAAATATATGAATTCACTATGTAGTTGCATCCTCCCTTTGATGGGTCATCCTGAAAAATGATTCTTCCCACTGGCAAAATGGAATGGAACTAAACATTCCAGTATTTCTTAAATGCTGCTTGTCTTAATTGTAGGGTGGGGTACTTCTACTAAGCTATCATGCAATTATCTGAAGAATAATGTGGGTGCCGGAACAGGTCTATAAATAAAGATACATTAAGAAAAATTGCCTTGTGGCTCTCTGCCCTCCCAATGGCTAATGAACTCCAACGAATACACAATGCAACAATAAACGTTTGATGGTAGTGATCGTTACAATTGCTCTGGCTCCAATCCAGAGAAAACGAATAACGGCAAGTAACTGAATCACATTCTTATTCTAATTCTCAGCAGTGGCCCTGGCCAAGCTAGTAGCAGCTATCCAGTTCTTATATTTTCATGGATTTCTCTCTAACGAGCAAAACTTTAGCTTGATAAAATAACAGGAACCTAGTCAATAACACATGAAGCCACAGTCCTACTTTATAAGTAGTCCTCACTTAACGACCATTCATTTAGTGACCGTCCAAAGTTATGACGGCGCTGAAAGTTACTTAATGGCCAGTCCTCACACTTACAACCATCGCAGCATCCCTGCAGTCAGGTGATTGTGATCCAGGCGCTTGGCAATCAGCTTGCACTTATGATGATTGCAGTGTCCCAGGGTCACGTAATCACAATTTGCGATCTTCCCAGGGGGCTTCTGGCAAGCAAAATCAATGGGGAACCATGTGATTCGCTTAACAACCACATGATTCACTTAATAACCGTGGTGACTGACTTAACAATCACCGCAAAAGTTGTAAAATCGAGGTGCGGTCATGTGATGCTTCACTTAACAACCACCCCACTTAACGATGAACTTTCCGGTCCCTATTGTGGTCGTTAAGCGAGGACTACATGTATTACGGCAGCAGTTGCAATGATATAGTCCTCCTTTTGTACTGTCCTCTATTTTGGCCTTTAAGCACAATATAGCAGATAGCAGATACTGCCAGTCTGGTAATAGCAAGAGAGTCCCAAGCTGATACGCATATTCTTGGTTTGAAACCATAAGTGGTGTATCATGTGTTATCAAAAAGGTCATGAAAGGACACTTTGTTAAACTGTGTTATTTGACAGAACAGAATAAATCCACACATCATTCATTTTCCAGAACCGTATTATCTGAATATGACAAATATTCACAAAATGTGATCCACCTCTGAAAGACTATATGCATTATATACAGTCAAGGCAACAAAATTACTGTTTGTGGCTCTACAGAAAGGCATTGCTTACTCTTTATTTATTTACTTATTAATCAAATTTATATGGCCGCCCATCTCACGAAATGCGACTTTAGTTACAGTAAAGTAAGCTGTCACCAAAACAGCTTTCATACAAAATATCCTTGATGATGGAGAGAACTTGAGGGAGACTACACACCGTCCCACAGACTGATTCTACTTCCAAAGCAAGCATGAACACTCTATCAGTCCCAAATCCAACTCAAAATGCACTGCTCTCTTATGCAGCATCTTGTACAGTAGAATATTTTATACTTTTTCAGTTCTCAACGCATATCTATTGAATATAGATTCCCAGAGCACAAATTTAGGAATAAATTGTGAAGTAAATAAATAAAATAAAAACTTAGCAAACTACTGTACCTGAGAAACCTTTCTCCTTAATATGATCATTGCAACTCACCCATGATTACTTGGACACCAAACCTTAGTTTTCGGGAATCCAGACATAGTAGCAAATCAGCTTAAACAAGTTTGCTACATATTACCACTGAAGTCAGTGGGATGTTCACATACAGGTCAATACTTGAAGAACTGGTTACTTACTTGTAACTGTGGTTTTTCAACAAGTCATTTCTAATCCTACAATATGTGAAATGCGTCTTTGCAGAACACTATTTAGAACCTTACATAGTTTAGAGATTTGGGTGGGATCTCTCTCTTTCCAACATACAGTGCATATACCCAAGCATGTTTCCAACAACCCTCCTTAGTTTCTGAAACCTACACAACAGATCCTCCAGCTGAAAGGATGGACTGATATTCCATGACATCAAAATAGGTAAGTTGTGTGAATTCACAGAGGACTCTTTACTTTGGTGCCTGTGATTCAAATGTAGGGGTGAACAGTCAGCTTGTGGCTGATACACAGGTGTGTTCATAAATTGCTAAAAAAAGAGAGAGAGAGACCACCTCCCAAAGGTCCAGATGACAGTGGTAAGCAGAGAGATTGCAACTGCTTTCAGGAATGACCTGGAGTGTGGAGCAGACGCTGGACAGAGTTTTATGGTGGCCTTCGTCTATTTTGAAAAAGAAGAAATATCAAAGCAACAGCCCAAACCTGTATGAGCATATTAAAGATCAAGAATAAATGCTGATATTTTGTGAATATGACTATTCTATGCAATTAAAAGGCCATCTTCCTCCAGAGAATATGACCATTCCAACAGCACTGCAGCAGCATATGGAAGAAAATGGGTAAAACGATGTCCTGACTCAAGTGAAAAACAACAGGTTTTGTAAGACCACTTCATCTCAGTGCACACCTAAAAGAGTCAGGTCCATCTGCCAAGCACATTGTTTCTTAACATGCCACTCACAGTTTTTCTTGAAAGCAAACAGAAAGAAGCACTAGGCGCTGGCTCAAATGGCTTTGACATCGAAATAGATGTCCAAGACTGATACCAGTGAAGCCACCGGAAGACAGAGATGGAGCAAACCCTTCACACAGGCAAAACAGCCACAAATTAACCCTCAAAAGAGGTATATCAAGCCCCCTCTTTTAAACTTCAACAAAAAGGCTATTGCATGCTGATTCTTCCATTATGCTGGATCAAACTACTCTTCTGCAGGCATGAGAAAAAGTTTCCATTGTGCAGCATAGAACTTCCTCGCACCGAGTTTACTGGATAGTATGAGGAGCTCATCTACCTGAGACAAGACAAGAGTCAGGACCAAACCTACCACGCTGAGAGTCTCAGGGAGTTGAAATCTTGCATAGATGGAGGGCACTGAATCCAGGTTTTTCAGGAGGTAGAGACAATCTTGTCAGGCAAATCAGAGCAGTGGAACAAATTAGAATTACCTTGGACAGCAAGGGCTAATGAGGATGCAGTGGGTGGTATCTCTGAGAATCTTGTGTTGTGACTTTAAGTGAGAATAAGACTGGGCATTCTAGAAGATGAATGCATCTCCTAGAGACTGCAAATCTACAACAGAACCAAACATACTGATGACAGTGCCAGGACACAAGGAAACTGATAGAAGGGCTGCCTCAATATCAGATGAAGTCTATAGCCATTGGGCAAAATTTCTTTTCATGTACTGTTGTTGATTGGATACACCTCACTGGCCAACATTGTCTTCCCCACTATATGGACCACCAAGAAGAGCCCAGCAGAGATGCATCAATTCCATTGCTGCAAGGTAAGTTTCAGAAGTGGGATTAATTTTGCTGCCAATTTAGTTATGTGCCTGACAGCTTGATGGAGATGGAAAGGCACATGTGCTTGAAATTTGCTTCTGGGACAAATGTCTACGATTCTGCTGAGTGGGAGGAATGTGTGAACTGGAAACTTCAGAGGATGCTTGCTATTGGCAACCAGCAGGTGATGACAATGTTCTTCCACTAAAATGGTTATCATGCCATGGCCAGGAGCAAAACAAATCTGAGTTCAGTGGAGAGCCTGCTGATATGCTACAGTGTGTAATTTCACTATGAGCTCACCCATAGGTAGTTTTCATAGTAAATAAGATGTTCTTGTCTAGAGGTTGGTCCTCAATCTGAAGCTTAGCTTTTGGAGTAAGGAAGGTAGGACAGAGCCTAGCGTGGCACAGAGAACAATGGAGACTCTGCAGCATGGCAGGCAATGTTTAACAACTGTTTTGTAAAACCCACTGCCTGTGCCTGGAAGACATGATGGCACATCATCAGGAGAGAGCAAGGAAAGGCCATTTTGTCCAAAAGGAAATATTTCCCCCATCCCCCAAGCTAGATGGTGGCTATATGGAGCAAGAGGGTCCCTGAAGAGAATAGCTTGTGATTAAAGCCATGAAACTTTGCCTTGATTCTGCAGCTGCCAGGTGCTGTTACAACTGCAAGCTTGTCTGGGAAGTCTAACTCACAATGGAGTGGGGAGGACCGGGAATAAACTACCTCCAACAAAAACCTTGTTAGAGGTTCTCAAAGCAGCAAGCGACTAACAGTAGGTCCGGTCCTACGTTTTCATACATTTTCAGTCAAACTGGCAGCATGAAGGATGAGCTGCAATAGGGCCATTCTGTGATCACTCAAATGGCTCGCAGATGGAGACTCTTATTGGAATCAGGCTCAAGAAGGAGCTTGAGAAATTTCTGTATTTATCTGAGACACAGCCATATCCAAGAAGAACAAATTAATACAGAAGAGACTGGTGGGGGCAGCCCAGTTTCCGTGGCATTTGTAGCCTTAGAGACTATTCCCAGAGGCTCACCATAGGAGAAATAAATAGTTCCAGCAAGCCTTCTCTGTAAAGGCTTGATGCTGCTTACCAAAAGCCACCACATGCTTCTGCCTGGGACCTAAGTGACAGAAGCCTTATAGCATCTCAGCTTCAGCAATTATCAGAAATTCAGTCACTGAAGGTATTAACACAGAATTATATTAATTAAATCACACAGATAACTCTTTGCAAGCTAGTTGAGGATCTGTTACATTCTCGCTTCCTTGTTCTTAGGCCCCCCATCCCCTTTTGGAATCCAAAATCAGCAAGGACTAAACTAAAAACTAAACCTGACCTGGCTTCCACGAGCCCAGAACAGAGAAGAACGTTTGTTTATTCTTGTAACACTGGGACTTACAAGATGAAACTTTCAAGACTACAGGACCAAGGCTGGACAAGGATCTCTGTAGTCAATTCTCAGACTTTTTTTTTTTTTCCATTTCGTGATGAGCAAGGCAAATGTGGAGAAAGAGGAACTAGAGACTAAGTACTGAACAGTTAAGATGAAACAAATAATTTTAAATGAAATGCTGTCAAATTCATGTGCTAAATTTGTGATGACTGAAGATAAACTCGGGGGATTAGTAGGAATCACATCAAGGACCTAGAACAGTGCAGAACTTATATGTGCGTATCATAGAAATCTAAATGAAGAATTACAGTTTATGAACCTTTCTGATGTAAATATCCCAACATTCTTTTCATATTGTTAATATTTGTATTATAAATTTAGGAACAGAAACCCACATATACAAGGCTACAAATAAAATAAATCCTGCAGCTGATAGAAGGAAAACAAAAAACAAAACTAGACACTTGTGTACACACCCATCAGGACTTTAGACTTATATTTCTCATGTAGTTGTTCTTCATGCTGTTGTACAGCAACTCAATATTATGTACATTGCACAATTTGTGCACACTGGTACTTACTGGGTGGTTTAAGGAAATTTAATTAGTTGAGCAAGGGGAATCTACAGACCAAAGAAAAGAAACACAAAGTTGGATTCCAGCCAATGCCTCTGGCCATCAGAAATTGCAATGCCCAGTTATAACTACCTGAGCTACTGCCATGTGAAATAACTCTATTTTGGCCAGAAATCATAATAATTTTACTGTATTTCTGATCCAACAACAGGAAAGCAAGAACAATATGGTTCTTACCATACATGCCGTACTCCAGATATCAGCAGGTGAACTGTAACCTGCTCCTATTAAAACTTCAATTGATCTATACTGTCGAGTCTGGATATCTTCCGTAAAATGTTTATGCTAAAAATGGAGAAGACAGTAGCAATTACAAAATACTCAAACTTAGCTACAAGACTAAACAGCAAAGTTGTAGACATTTTTAATTACACTTACCACCCAACAAGCATTTCCCAGATCAGCAATTTTTACTCTAATTTTATCCGCATTTCTTGGATCCAAGGGATTCACCAGCAAGTCAGCAGCCCGAGTTTTTGCTATTATAAGGAAAGAAATGGCAGGGTTAATATTCAGAGCACATAATCCGACATTCATTTTAAAAATCCAATACTGCAGAGCAAGAATAGTTGATGTCTTCACCATCTTTTAAAAAAAAGAAATCAAAAAATATAGGAAGAAAATTTTAAAAAGGACACCTCAATTATTAACCTAACATGCTATAAATTACATTATCAAACGCAACTTTGAAAATAGCTAACAACCTATATAATCAGAAAGAGCCTGTGTAGTATATCTTCTATCAATGATTAGTTTGATCTGTATTGTACCCTTTTTACACTTCTTTCCATCTCTGCAGAATAAACCACACATAGTAAAGTAAATAAATTTTATTAAGTTTAAATAAGCATTTCTCATCAATACAATATATGCATGGATCCACGGCCTATAACATTTGAATAACTGCAGCCAATCACGAAGCTTCTACTTCCAGCAGCATCTTCCACAAAACCTGGCTTCCCCTTGCACTGTCAGTTATAAATCATTATGCCGGAACAAAAATGAAATATTTCATTTTTCTACCCCATTCATGGAATGAACACTGACTAACCAGCAAAAGATCAAAAACACATCACACCTGAAATCAAAGCCGTGCTTTCAAAAAGAAAGAAAGACCTAATCTGCTTGTGGTTCATATATCTTTCTAGGTTGCTTTGTTAAAGACTCAGACGTAACGCAAGTGAGGCTGAAACGTAAGAATGAATACCCTACACAAAAGGAAAATAATACACCTTTACCGCTTTAAACTGTTATTCTATAAGCTTACTTTTCCATTGCCTGAAATTGGTACTGTAACGCTTTTGTTCTATCTTCCGTCTGCTCACTTTTCTTTCCAGTCCAATCAGCTGGATGAGAGCCTTTTTAGGAAAAGTGCCAACTCACGCCTTTGGGTCTCCCATTTCCTTCTTACTTTAGAAATTTCTTCATTCCTTTTCCCCTTTCTTTTCATCCACAGAATATGTTTCACTGTGTCCTGTCTGGTTTCCCACATCACGCAATCTTCATAATCTTCGTCTGTGCGGATTCTATTCCACTGGAAAATGTTACCTTAAGAACGATTGGCCACAGCTTATGTACATCATCTTTTTGTGAGAGTAATTCCTAATTTGAACTTGTACATTTCCCAGAAAATAAATCAGCAAGTAGGGGGGAAGCATAAAATAAATGACCATATGTGTTTCCTAGAAAAATACTGTATGTGAATTCCTAACAAAGTGCATTCCATTTTATCCTGACTGAAATACTCTGAAAAAATGGCCTGCTAGAGTCTGCTATTCCTCACTCTCATCCTCTTAGTTTTGCACATAATTCTATTTCATTATTCTGCTTTTGGTGTTGAATCAGCATAAGATTGCCACATCTTACAGTCACACTGATTCATAATGTTCACAAAAAGCAATATTTACAAGAGCACAGCAAGTCAAGTGCGATACTGAGCTATAACTCCACCCTTCTATCTTATGGATCCAGTACTGTTTCTGCTACCATCATTATGATCAACTACTACTGCAGAAGCTACCTGGGGCCTTTGGCAACCCTTCCTATGCTAAATTGGGAGAGTACATTACAACACAGCTTCATATTCAGCAGACAACCTGATCAGCCAATATCTGCAAATGAAGACTGATATTCATTAGCCCATTTTCTTTCTTTGAAGATGCCCCTCTAAATCAAGCATTACTTTTCCATACCGGAGATCCTGGTATGGTGATTTAATTATTAAACAAAATTGGTCCTCTCTGTTACTTAATTTTTAGCTTTATTCGCCCCCCATCTTATTTTCTGGTAACACTACAGGTCTGGATTGTTTGATTATCATAACTTCTAAAACATTAAGAAGACAATTTCCCATTTTGATTTTATTCATTCAGCAGCGTTTGTGCTTAATGGTTGCTAAATCTCACCCCCGTTCATTCTCACACTTATAACCATGATTCACAAAGCTTCAGCTATTTCAACTCCCACATACAGCTTCTAAGTGAAGTTTATTAGGCAAAATTCTAACAGGTTCTAAAAAAACCCAAAAGCATCTCAGCAATTCACAACAGCACAAGTTCATCAAGCAGAATTGTACCTTACAGTCAGCTCTGAAGCAGAGTATATTTTTTTCAATGGGCTGGAGAGTTTTCTGTATAGTGGAAAGGAAAATTAAGTCTTTTCTTCTTTCTTTTATAATGGAACATATTTATTTACCAGCAAAGA